TTTGCTGCTGAGTCTCTGCCAGGTTTTGGTATCAGGATGATGTAGGTCTCATCAAATGATTTGGGAAGGATTCCCTCTTTTTGGATTGTTTGAAATAGTTTCAGAAGGAATGGTACCAGCTCCTCTTTGTATGTCTGGTAGAATTTGGCTGTGAACCCATCTGGACCTGGGCTTTTTTTGGGTGGTAGGCTCTTAATTGCTGCCTCAACTTTAGACCTTGTTATTGGTCTATTCAGGGTTTTGACTTCTTCCTGGTTTAGGCTTGGGAGGATGCAAGTGTCCAGGAATTTATCCTTTTTTTCCAGGTTTACTAATTTATGTGCATAGAGTTGTTTGTAATAATCTCTGATGATGATTTGTATTTCTGTGGAATCTGTAGCGATATCACCTTTATCGTTTTTTACTGCACCTATTTGATTATTCTCTCTTTTTTTTATTAATCTTGCTAGTGGTCTGTCTGTTTTGTTGATCTTTCGAAAAACCAGCTCCTGGATTTATTGATTTTTGAAGGGTTTTTTGTGTCTCTGTCTCCTGCAGTTCTGCTCTGATCTTAGTTATTTCTTGTCTGCTGCTAGGTTTTGAGTTTTTTTGATCTTGCTCCTCTAGCTCTTTCAATTTTGACGATAAGGTCTCAATTTTAGATCTCTCCTTGCTTCTCATGTGGGCATTTATTGCTATATATTTTCCTCTAGAGACTGCTTTAAATGTGTCCCAGAGATTCTGGTATATTGTGTATTCATTCTTGTTGATTTCGAAGAACATCTTTATTTCTGCCTTCATTTCATTGTTTATCCAGTCAACATTCAAGAGCCAGTTGTTCAGTTTCCATGAAGCTGTGCAGTTCTGAGTTAGTTTCTGAATTCTGAGTTCTAACTTGATTGCACTGTGGTCTGAGAGACTGTTTGTTACGATTTCCATTCTTTTGCATTGGCTTAGGAGTGATTTACTTCCAATGATGTGGTCAATTTTAGAGTAGGTGCCATGTGGTGCCATGTGGTGAGAAGAATGTATATTCTGTGGATTTGGGGTGGAGAGTTCCGTAAGTGTCTATTAGCTTTGCTTGGTCCAGGTCTGAGTTCAAGTCCTTGATATATCCTTGTTAATTTTCTGTCTCGTTGATCTTTAAATATTGACAGTGGGGTGTTAAAGTCTCCCATTATTATTGTTTGGGAGTCTAAGTCTCTTTGTTAGTCATTAAGAACTTGCCTTATGTATCTGGGTTCTCCTGTATTGGGTGCGTATATATTTAGGATCGTTAGCTCTTCTTGTTGCATTGGTCCTTTTACCATTATGTAATGTCCTTCTTTGTCTCTTTTGATCTTTGTTGGTTTAAAGTCTATTTTATCAGAGACGAGAATTGTTAACTCTTGCTTTTTTTCTCTCTCTCCATTTGCTTGGTAAATCTTCCTCCATCCCTTTATTTTAAGCCTTTGTGTATCCTTGGATGTGAGATGGGTTTTCTGGATACAGCACACTGATGGGTTTTGGCTTTTTATCCAATTTGCCAGTCTGTGTCTTTTGACTGGAGCATTTAGCCCATTTACATTTAGGGTTAATATTGTTATGTGTGAATTTGATCCTGCCATTTTGATGCTAGCTGGCTGTTTTGCCAGTTAGTTGATGCAGTTTCTTCATTGTGTTGATGGTCTTTACCACTTGGTATGTTTTTGGAGTGGCTGGTAGTGGTTGTTCCTTTCTATGTGTAGAGCCTCTTTCAGGAGCTCTTGTAAAGCAGGCCTGGTGGTGATGAAATCTCTAAGTACTTGCTTGTTTGTGAAGGATTTTATTTTTCCTTCACTTATAAAGCTTAGTTTGGCTGGATATGAAATTCTGGGTTGAAAGTTCTTTTCTTTAAGGATGTTGAATATTGGCCCCCACTCTCTTCTAGCTTATAGGGTTTCTGCTGAGAGATCTGCTGTGAGTCTGATGGGCTTTCCTTTGTGGGTAACCCGACCTTTCTCTCTGTTGCCCTTAGTATTTTCTCCTTCATTTCAACCCTGGTGAATCTGAGGATTATGTGCCTTGGGGTTGCTCTTACTGAGGAATGTCTTTGTGGTGTTCTCTGTATTTCCTGGACTTGAATATTGGCCTGTCTTGCTGCCTTTTATCCTTCCTGGCATGTCCTCATTCTTTTCTCTGTCTAAATGCTCTCCTAGCCCTGGTTCAAATCACACTTCCTTCATCCATGTTGCCCCTGACCTCCCTAGTTCATGCCTGTTTTGCCCACCTCTGAAATTCTCCAACATCATTGTTCTCTAACTTACCACTTCTATAATGCCATCTTCCTATACATTATCTTCTCATTGGCTGTATTTCCAACTGTGAGAAAACAGAAATCATGTCCTATGTGTTTTACCTATGCCCTTTCTCAAAATGCATACAACTATTTTGTGATGGAAAGGAGGAAAAATTAGAATCTCAGAACCATGTACTAAAATTTAGGTGCAGATGAAGAAGGTCCAGGATTAAAGAGAATAGAGATGCTAGCAGTTTCTTTTGCAGAGCATGCAAACTTGTCAATAAAAAATAAATAAAAGGAAAAAGGATTGTGAGGTTTTTTTCTTGCTTCGCTTTTCTCCACCAATATTATCATGAGTTCATTTGTATTCCTTTTTTCCTGTTCTTGTGCTAACCATTCTTTGTTTGGTTTTCAGGTTCTGTTTGTTCCCAGACACTGGTGGCATTATGTAGAATCCATTGATCCTGTCACTGTCAGTATAAACTCATGGATCGAACTGGTACTTTTTCATTTTGTATTATTTTCTTAAGTAAGTGCATTTCCTGCTTTTAAAAGATACACAAAGTCTGGCTGTACAACTGGGTAATTATGTTTTATAACCAATGCTTCCGTATTTTGTTGTTTTTGTTGCAGTGCACTATAACTTATGTATTCTGTCCTCTGTTAATGGATGTTTAGGTTGGAAATAGGAATTTTAGTGGTGTGCCATCTCTTAGTTTTAAGGACACAGAATGGGCCTGATGTTGTCATGCAGGGTCCTCTCCCTTGACCAGTGTCATTAGGAAAATTGTGCTGGGCCTAGCCAAATTTGCCAATAGTGTCCCTAGTTGCCACTACTCTCCCACACCATCTGGGCTGAAAACACCTGTTTCTTGGTTCAGGGTCATTACTAATTGCAGAATTCTGTCTTGGCTTCTACATATTCTCAAAGCAGAGTCTTTCAGTGCTAGGTTTTTATCATTTCATTTCTGCCAGAGGCCTTTCCCTCCAATGTGCTGTGCTTAATCCCAGTTGCCTGCTCTATTTGTCAATTAAAATAGCTGCTGCTTGTGCTGAAGTCTCTCTTCAACTGGGGCCTTACTTGCAGCTGTCTCTCTTTAACCAGAGGTCCTGACTGCATCTCTGCCCTCCCTGACCTGAAGCCTGGATTGCATCCCTGCTGTGTTTGACAGCCGCATCCTCTCCCTAGTCTAGTTTTTCCTATCCTTTGGCAATAGGAATGGCTTTGGAATCAGTGGAACAGAAGGAATATTGTAACAGAAAGCTATATTATATGGGCTTAGAGGTGTAGCCCTTGAGACTAAGGCGAGAGGTATGGCAGGAGATCAGTAGCATCACAGAAATTCTGCCTGTAGCATGCTGAACTGGAGTTGCAGCAGATGTCAAGGTAGAATCCATGGAGAACTTCCATTCCCAGTGCCAAAGTCACACTTAAAATAGCCCTGACAGGTGTTTCATCTCCCAAGGAAGTTCACTTGTTGTTAAAGAGTGGAGCTGTCATCCTTTTTAAATATTCGAAGATACCTCCAAGTGTTTCTGTAACCTTTTCTTCTTCTAAGCTCAAAACCATTTACTTTCTTTAATGGTGTGTTTTTATGTAACATTTTTCCCCCTAGACTCTTTACCATTTTGGCCACAGACTTTGGGATCAGGTGGCTTTAAGATAAGCTTTAAGACAGTTACCTTGGTTAGCTGTCTAACATAGACAGTTAATCTCTTCAAGCCTCCATTTTCTTATAAAATGAGGATTATAATTGAACCCACCTCCGTATTGAGGTTGTAAGGTTAAATTAGACAACACATTGTAAAAGCATCTCATATAGTGCGTGGCATATGGGAAGTATGTAAAAATTAGAAATTGCTATGAGGAGGAGGGAGAGCCCTGGGGCCGGGGCCGGGGCCGGGGCTCTCCCTCCTCATAGCAATTTCTGATTTTTAAATACTTCAAGAATAGTTCTCTTAATATATAGCACCTAAATAGTTCAAGAATAGTTCTCTTAATATATAGCAGTTCTACCTTTTAAATGTCAAGAATAGTTCTCTTAATATATAGCACCTAAAACTGAGTATCAGTGGGCCTTATTTGGTAGAGTATAAGGTTTCTACCCTCACACGATCTCAATCCTAAATATCTCCAGTGCTGCTTGTAATATTGGATTCTTTTTTTTTAGTAATCTAATCTCACTTTAGTTTCATATTCAACTCTAAAATATCTGTGCTTTTTTCCACATGATCTGCTGTCAGGCAGGTTGAATCCTATCCTGTACCTATAAAGCTGATTTTAATTCTAAATCCAGTACTTCACAGTTTTCCCTATTTTCAACATGTTAGTTTGGTTAAACATTCCAGCTTGACAAAATAATTTTAAATTTGGATCTTCTCTGTCCTTTTAGTGAAACTTCTAGCTGGCCTGTGCCCTTCTGACATGTCCCCATTAATTAGACTTTGAATGTATCCTGGCTTTCTGGTACAGGAAGATATTCCATGATACCCTTTTTCCTTTAGTGTCCCAAACTTGAAGTCAGTCGTTTCTCCAGGTGGCGACAGTTCTGTTTGTAGGAAGTGGTATTTAGAAACAGATCTCAGCTTTAAAGCTGTTCATTGCTCCTGGGTGACACTGTTTCTAGGCTCTTTCAGTGACATAGCTAAAATGTGAGAGAGATCGATAGATAGATAGATAGATAGATAGATAGATAGATGATAAATAGATACATACATAAATATTGATATATTTCTAATTCATGTATTTAAGAAATATATATATAGGCAAGTAATATGCTGACATAACAAACCTTAAGTGAGGCATGTCTCACACATGAGCATGACACCCAGTCATCAGACTTATGAACTATAAAAGGATCTAATTCAAGTTTAACGTAATAGAATTTTTTCTTACTTGTTTCTGTATTTTTATCTCTTCTCTTACACTGAAAATCTGGGTCCTTAAAAACAGTAATATACTTATTTGTTCGCTATATCCAGCAATATATTTTTTAAGGTGTCAGATTTATATTTCCAAAATTCAAATAGTAATATTACTACTAGCCATAAAGCTTGCAAGTAAAAATTAAGATTTCTTTGCAATTCTTTGTATTATTAGACTGTATCTGTCACTAAGAGGATCGATACAAAGTCCTTTATTCAGGAGTCATTGTGAAGGAATTCTTTCCTTTTATGGTTATTCTACTAATTGGATATTTAGTTAAGTTCATTAGTTTCAGTTTGTTTTAAATTTTAGGATTTACTTACTTTTTAACAATTTTGATCTAATTTAATGTTTCAAATATCTAGAACATTTAACTTGTCAAAACTATATTAAAAGTTATACTCAAGGAAATCTGCCTTTCATCCCTGTTCCATCCACTCCATTTTTCCCAGCCTTTATAGAGATCCATTTTTATTCATTTCTAGTTTATCATTCCAGTGTTTCTTCTAAACATATATATCTTGATATATATATAAAATTAAGTAAATGAATACATATATTTATATACAGAAATAAGTATATAGTCATATTTACAAAGTGCATAGGCATATAATTCATCTTTATATATTTATTCATATATTTTTTATTTTATATCCTTTATTCCACAGAAAGTAATAAACCATAGTGTTCCACACCTTGCTTTCTTCAATTCAATAATATCCTGAATTTCACTACATAATAGTCTAGAGAAATATTTACATTTTTTCTTCAGCCACTGTCTAATGCCCCATTATATGGGTACCCTACTGTTCATTAGTTTCTTTATGGATAGATGCTTGGGTTGTTTCCAGTCTTAAAAAATTACAAATAATGCCACTGAATAACCTTGTGCATATGTTGTTTTATATTTGTTGAAGTGTGTCTTTGGGGGAGATCTTAACACTGGATTTGCCAAGTCATAGGGTAAATGTATCTTTAATTTTTTTAGGTTTTGCCAAATTCAGCTTCATTGTGATTGTGCCGTTTTGCATTTCCATTAGTAGTATATGAAAGTGTTTGTTTCCTCCACAGCCTTACCAGTGAAATCTGTTGTTGAACTTTATTGTTTTTGACTCATAATTAGAAACCAAGGTCATATGATGTCTTCCATGTCATAAAGGAATTCACCAATGTTTCATGTTAGATTGTTTCATGTTTTGTGCATTTAGATCTCTTATCCATTTGGAAATTTTTCACTGGGATATAATATAAGGTTGAGATCTAATTTTATCTTTTCCTAAATGGTAATAGGATTGTCAGGACCATCATTTATTTTACAATCTGTTTTCCCTTAATGATTTGAAATGTCTGTGTAATCATATACTAGATATCTGAACACATGGATCTGTTTTGTCCATTGGTCTTTCTGCATTTTTTTTTTTTTTTTTTTTTTAGACAGAGTTTTGCTCTTGTTTTCCAGGCTGGAGTGCAATGGCATGATCTCGACTCACTGCAACCTCCACCTCTTGGGTTCAAGCAATTCTTCTGCCTCAGCCTCCTCAGTAGCTGGGATTACAGGCGCCTGCCACCATGCCCAGCTAATTTTTTGTTATTTTTATCAGAGATGGGTTTTAGTCACGTTGGCCAGGCTGGTCTCAAACTCCTGGCCTCAGGTGATCCACCCACCTCGGCTTCCAGAAATGCTGGGATTACAAGTGTGAGCCACTGGGCCTGGCCCCTTTCTGCCTATTTATTTAGAGAAATCTTATGTTTTTAAAATTGGTGGAACTAACTTCTGTCATTGCTTTTCTTTTAAGAGTTTTCCTGGCTATTCTTGCCTCTGTTTTTTATGTGTTCTTTAAAATTAGTTTGTCTAGCTTCAGGGAAAAAAAAAACCTTTTGATGTTTTTATCTGATCCATATTATATTTTATATGAGCGTTATGATGTGGAATTATCCTGTCCACAAATTAGATGCCTTTCCATATGTCTAAGTCCAGTTTTTGTTTTTGTTTTTACAGCTGTATTTTAAAGTTTTCCTCACATAAGCTTTGCACATTTCTTTTAAATGTTTATTCCTAAGCACAGTAGTATCTCCTTATCCTTGAGGGATATATTCCAAGATCCCCAGTGGATTACTGAAACCCTGAATATTACCAAACCCTAATATGATCAATCAACACTTTTCTGTTCATGCCTTCCACCTATAAATGTAATGCCTTAACTAAGATGCAAACTTATGCATCTTAACTAAGCACTTATCATGCACTGTGGCTGCAGCTTTGCAGTTTGAGGTGTGATAGCAAAACTAGCATGATTTTTTTTTTCTCTTCACAATTTCCTAGATAGAAGATTTGTTCGTACCATAGATCTTAGTAGCCTCAGCATGCTGGTTTTTTCTCTCCTTATTAAGTTGAGAACTTTCCCTTTTCACTTAAGGAAAGCACTTTACAACTTGTCTTTGGCATATCCAGATTGCCAGCATCACAACTCTTGTACTTTGAGGCCATTATTAAGTAAAATAAGGGTTTCTCGAATACAAGCATTGCAAATAGCACGACGATGATCTGATCACTGAGCTAGGTACTAAGTGACTCAGAGGCAGGTAGTATGTACAGTGTGGAGTGGAATGGTGAGAGCTTTCATCACGCTACTCAGAACTACATGTAATTTAAAGCTTATACATTGTTTATTTCTGGAATTTTTGTTTAATATTTTCTGACTGAGATTGCCCACGGGTAACTGAAACCGTGGAAAGCGAGATTGCAGATAAGGGAGGACTGCCATATTTCATCTGTTTTGCTGCTAGGGTAAGGCCTTCTCGTCCATTCTATCTTCTAACTGGATGTTATTCGTGAGTATGATAGCTATTGATTTTTGTGTTAATTTGGATTATTTTATTTTGTGGTAGTTTTTAATTGAATTTCTTGGGTTTTCAGATATCTCTCAGATTACCTGAAAATTAAGATAGTTTTTCTTCTTCCTTTCTAATTTGTTTGCCTATAATTGTGGGGTGGGGGTGGAGATTTGGTCTGATTACATTGGCTAATACATCCAATTGATTAATAGTATTGGAGATACTGGGCATCCTTGTCTTGTTCCTGACTGTGAAATGCTAGATTTGGGTCTGAGTTGTATATGTGTTTTATCACATTAAATATCCATCAATTTCTATTTCATTACATTTTTGTGTTTTTTTAAAATCAGGAAAATGTACTGAATTTTGTTGAATTGATAGAAATGATTACATAATATTCTTCTTTAGCAAATATCTGGTATTGCAATAAGTAATATCAATTGATTGCCTAACGTTGATTCATCCTTAACTGCTGGAACAAATACCACTTGGTTGTGATATACTGTCTTTAAATTTACTATATGATACTGTTTGTTCATATTTTATTTAGATTTGAATTTACATGGCCTCAGTAACATCAAAGATTTCACCACAGTGTTTTAAAAGGCTAATTATATACAATTTAGTCATCTTTTCTAGAATTTTCCAAAGGATTGAGTATCAGTGAGTATAAACAGACTCCAAGGTAGTACTTAGAAGTGTGGTAGCTGAGAATGTCATGCTGATTTCAAGGGGATGATTTCTGTCCTTCACCAAACCAGACCTCCAGTTCCTTCTTCAACATCTTTCTGTATAATTCCGTTTGAAGACCATTCATTCTTTATTGAAAAACTAGAATGCACAATTGGAGTTAAATAATCATATCTTTCTCTGTCATATGTTGCTTTTATCATTGTCTCTTCAACGTTGGACAATAATTCCTTCTTTCTGCCAAATTTAGCTCCAAAAAAGCTCTTAGGTTTTAGAGTCTACCATACTTATATACTCAAGTTAACTCCAGGTTCTGATATTGCTTTCATGAATCACATATTTGGAAAAGAGTAGTATTTTAGCTCTGTTCAAGTGGTGCAGCATTCATTTCTTCTCAGCTGGTGCCTTTGCATCTTTTTCACCTCCTTATTTAAGTATTGAAATGTATTTATTTTTCTAAACATTGTTAGAAAATATTTTAATTTTTAAGCTTTTTTCTCATTCTCAGCATTTTTCTTTTGTTATATCTTTTGTTATATTTATACATATAAAAGAATATGTAAAATATTTGTAAGATATAAAGGGTAATAATACAATGAGCACCAGTAAACTCATTTACCTGACCCCAAAACTAGAATTTATTTTATTTTATTTTTTAGAGATGGAGTCTCACTCTGCTGCCCAGGCTGGAGTGCAGTGGTGCAGTCATAGCTCACTGCAGTGTCAAACTCTTGGCCTCAAGCAGTTCTTCCACTTTGGCCTCCAAAAGTTGTGGGATTACAGGCATGAGCCATCATGCCCAGCTTAGAATTTTATTAGTAACTTGCATCTGTTCTGTGTTCTTCCTTATCCCTTCCCTGTCTGTTCCGTTCACTATCCTTATTCTCTTGCTTAAACAAAAAAGTTTTGTCACATTATCTGTCCATCTATACATCTGTCTGTCTTTGTACACATATACATATATATATATATATATATATTTTTTTTTTCTATTGGTTCTCTTTCTTTGGATAACCTTAACTGAAATACCATATGAACCAGCAATTCCATTCTTAGGTGTAGACCCAAGAAAAAATGAAAATATATGTTCACACAAAAACTTCTACATGAATGTTCACAGTAGTAGTATTCATAATAGCACAAAGTGGACACAACTCGTATTTTTCAGCTATCATAAGGAAAGAAATACTGATGCATGCTACTGCATGGCTGAATCTTATGGTATATAATGAATCTAATGGTATATGTTATATCTGTATCTGGTTATCTGGCTATATCTTCTGTTCTGTTTCTCTGAGGAACTCTGACATACCATATGATCCAGCAATTCGCTTCCTGTGAGTATGTAGATAAGATATCTTTACATGATATCTACATGTATGTAAATGCAGATACCTATCTAATAAGTA